CTCTACTTTTGCTCTATGCTTTTTTTCTTTTCTTTTTCTTTCTTTTTTTTTCTTTTTTTTTCATTTTTTTTGTGCTGTAACATTCAATTTGTATGCATCTCTTGACATGGCTCAAAAACATGGACATTTTTAATTTTACTTTTGAAAATTTTAGAAATATTTTTTAATTAAAAAAAAAAAAAAATTTGCTTTGTATGAAACTTGAATGTACCTTTCCTCAATGGAAGAAAAAAATAAAATTCCAGTTTTCCTGACACGTATTTTAAACATTTACAAAAGATTTGCTATTAAATATAGATCAGCTAAAATAGACAACACCCTTTGATACTTTCTAAAGTCAATCTGATACTACCTGTGGGTGGTGGTTGTTATTAAAAATATATATACTTTGGGGGTGATGTCAAAATCAGATTAAGCCCAACTTTTTTTTATTTTCTTTTTAAGGCTTTTGGTCCAGACAAAGAACTTTTCAGTACATTGTAGCATACTTATATACTCATCTCTTTTGGTAACTGTTGTATTTGAAGCACAGTTATTTTGCATTCTAACTTGAATTTTATTATTTATAGTATTATCACTTGTTAAATAAATTTGTTTTTTTAACAAAAGTGGGCAAACATAAAAAATGATTTTCTATTTTGTATAAAATGATTGATTTGCTTAAAAATTCTTCCTTTATATTGTTATAATGTAAATTTTTTTTTCTGCCTTTCATACAAACATGCCTGAAAGATAAGAATGATGAAAAAGTAATAATAACCATGTAATGATCACTGCATCAATCATTGTGTGTTGTGCAGGATTTTTATATTTGGTCACTTGTTTGTGTCAAATCTTTTATTACAAATAAATCTAGTTGGGCTTTGAGCTTTTCAATGAAAGCCTATTGAATGAAATTCCCTTTTTAGGCTAAGAAAATATTTTGCAAGATTTGAAAGAAAAAACAGTTCTGTCATTTTTAGTTGATGACTTCAATTCTATTTCCAAAAAGATGAACAAAATATGATTCTCTAATGCCATTAACCATTAATCTTTTGATTTTGAAACTACAACCAATTTGTTGAAGAAAAACCTTTTGCTACTGCATGAAATTAAATTCTTACAAAATACAGTTTATGTCCACCAAATCTGTATTAAAATCTCTTTTCAATGGAACCAAATGACTTTATATTCAATTGGTTTCTGTCCATGGAAATGTTTTGCAAAGGAATCAATGTGAAAACTAATATTCTGCCTTGGGTATTAAAAAAGAATTTAAATGCAATGTCAATCATTATCTTTTGTCGTCTTAATTCTTGTTCTTTTATTGTCCTCACTCCTTAATAGTATTTCCTTCTCATACTCTCTAACACTCAATAACCCCTTTGCATCTTAGTGGCTTTATTAACTTGCTTGCATGATATGATTAAAAAAAATCTTAAGTGATTTTTAACTGTCAAATCTATTTTTTAATCCACTGTGCCAAAGAATTTGTTATATAAAGATGATTCTTGTTTGAGAGTGACTGAAATTTCCCTATATTACAAATTAGGTCAGTGGCTAAAACTTTTCCTTGAAGGTCTTCAGTTTTTTTTTGGGGGGGGGGGTGATTTTTCAACTGAAATGATTGATCTTTATTCTTGTCATAGGTATGTGACAAAAAGAATGTTAATAAATACCAATCAGAGCAAACAATATGCCATTTATATCTTGTGTGACACAAGTCAATTCTATATTTTATATTTGAATATTTCCTTTATTAAACAAAAGAATAAGATCAGTAGTCTGAATAAGTTTTGGAATTGTAATAAAGTATCCCTAAATTATAGCATGTACCTTAAGGCTATCTTAGGATTCTAAATGTAATTGGTTAATAAAATACCAAAGCATTCTATTTAAATGTGAAATTTGACATTCTTTGCTGGCATGTTTATAATGAGACACAGATGTGCAGTGTCTTGGCTTCAAATAGTTTAACCTTTCTTTCTCTACTATTGCTATAAAACTCTTTTTTTTTTTTTTTTTTTTAACTCACCATAAAACTTTAATGCTTCTTAATGTACACATGGCCTAAATATATATATATATATATATATATATATATATATATATATATATATATATATATATATATATATATATATATTTTTTTTTTTTTTTCAGACAACAACCAGGTTATTTTCTGACCTGCAGGCACATTAGTCTGATTAATAACATTTAACAATTTTTCTTTCTTTCTCTCTTTGCATCTTTTCAAAATGACGTGTAGATAAATTGTTTTTTATAAAGACATCACAGCAGTTCTTCTTGTGAAATGTTTTTATTTTTAAGTTGTTTTGCTTTATATCTCTCCATTGTTGAGTGATCTTTTTAATTTTCTTTTCTTGACAGAATTAAGTTGTTATAGCTAATACAACTATTTTTAACTTTTTCCCTCACTCTCAAACCAAATAGGATCAAGTGACAACAAATATCCTCAAATTTCTTGCCAAATCATATATTCAATTTTTCTATAAATGTAGAATTTATTTATTTTTTTTTTTTTTTTTTTTAAAGACCTTTTTAAATTTTATCATTTCTGTTTTCATTGTTTTTACAACAGAATTTTTTGCTGGTCTTTGATGATATTGACTGCATAGTTTCAGTTTTTGCTTGGATTCCAAATTTTTTCAGTTTGAAATGAAATTGCATCATGTACCCCAATAATTAAAATTTTATCATTTTTTACTAGAATTATGAAAAGCACTTGTTTTTTTATTTTAAAAAATGTTAATTATAAGTAACTGTAAAAATCTTGTAGAAAATTCCATTCCTGGTCACTCATTTTGATCACTACTTGGTTTAATTAATTCCAAATGGATATTCTCATTGCTATAAAGTGCCCAACATTTTTATTGTATTTCCTGTTTTTTTTTTTTTTAAGTTTATTTAACTTCTTTTTAACGATTTCCACTTCATAAAAATCTTATTTGTTTTTTCATAATAACTTCATCTGAAGAATTTTCTTTCAATCTCTTTATCAGCTTTAATATAATATCTGAAAGTTACCCTTTGATTTTGATATCTTTCTGTCATCATCTTTCTTTCACATCAGTAACAGGTTAACAAATAAAGGTTCATTACACTTTAGATTTTTTTCTATTGAACTTTTTTAATCTTAGTTTTGCATAGAAATATCAAATGAGTAATGTTTTGTTCCTTCCAGTGCTATTGGCTTGTCTGATACACTACTTGTTTTTAAGAAATGTTTTTATTCTACTGCTCTGAACATGTGGTAGCAAGATGCTTTCATACCTGGCCTACTGTGCCATAGCAATTTTGCTTGCCTCTTGTGGACAGTGTTATACTAATGAAACGCAACTGCTTCTTTTGTGTGTGTGTGTGTGTTTTGTTTTCTGTACTGAGTTACTCTTCTGAAAGAATCTAGAAATCAATATTGTTGCTCAATATGGCTGGCTTATCAACATTTTCTCAGCCTTTCTTGCCACCAAATAATAGCTCTTCTTCTCACTTTCCTCCTCGGGGTTAAGGTGGCACAATGAAAGAAATTTTTTTTTTTCTTCAGTTGCAAAATATGAGGCAAACCTGAAGACTGGAATTTCCACATTTCTACTGTCTTAATTTTTGTTCTAAATAAACCAAAAATATTTGGCATGAAATTTCTGTATTGTGGAAGTGAAGGTAAAAAATATTCACACTAGTTTTCTCAGGAAATCAAAAAAGTGAGAACAATAGAAGAGTAATCCAGAAGATAATGATTGACATTTCTGCAGGCAAGAAGTGTGAGAAAAGAAACCGTTTTCTTTCTAAAATCTTGAATGATTAATATTATTTGACTGTAAAAGGATATCTACAAGTCTACAAAGTATAAAGTGAATGCTGACATTTATTAAAACAAATTTTTATTGATAAATTCCTAGATTTTGTATCCATTCTTCAATTTCCCTTCCAAGCAAAAGCAAAATGGCAGAATAGCTGTAGTCCCCAAACAGCTTCAGATGCACTTGCATAAACTGGATTCAAACATAATTGAAACATCAAAACATAACGACTTGCATTTGCTCTAATCATATATGAAGTGACACAGCAAATTCTTGTGGTGGGAGAGGAGAAATGCAAAGTAGATGGGGGCAGGTGATAAAACAAATATTACAACCATGATTTTTCCTCCCCCACACCAGATCTCTATTGGCAGAACTTGTTCTTTATACTAGGTGATTACTGAATGAAGGGTTAGATAATTGATAAATCTTGTGATTAACTGGTTAACTATATATTTATATAATTTCAATCCAATTTCAAAATGTTTTACCTCTCAGATTGCTTGTACTTCAATCCTTAACTGTTGTGTGGGTGACATTTTGAATTCAAACCAAAATATTATCTTCTGTATATTTTTCTGCTCAATGGAAACCTTGACCTAAATTGTTTTGCTGACTGAGTTTTGTCTTCACTGAATTCACATCTCCATTCTCTCTGACCCTGACAATTTGTTTTCTCTTAATGTTTGTTATAAAATGCAAATCTGTTCTTTCTTCTGCCATCTTAGAGTTTTTATCAAATTTCTTTATTTTCTTTGGAGCTACAAAATTTACAACAATTTAGTTTTTACGCCTTAAAAGAAGTAACAGAAACTTTATGTAATTAAGATAACAAACAAAAAACATTAAATTTCCCCAAAGATTGAGACATTTTTCTCGTTTGTGCACATATGAAGTTATTGGTCTAATCTTTTATATCAAGCTATCATTAAAATTGTTTTTGAAAGTTTTGGTAAACTTTTTCATGCTTACTTCAGGCAAGGCTGATACTGAAAATTTAAGAATTCTTTTGCTTAATTTATTTATTTACTGAATATTACAAAAATAATTTAAGTTGCCATTTCTACACTATTAAGAATTTTATATTGTATGGCCAAATTGTGTTTTTTTTTTTTCTTATCTATTTTTTTTTTAACTCTGCTGAATCAGATGTGTGTATAAGATAACCAGTGAATTATTGATTTTAATTTCATTTTTCAGAAATTTGTTTCGACGAAGCAAAGACACTAGCACTAAGCAACAAGCTGAAAGTGCTCCTGGATGGAAACTATTTGGAAAGATCCCACCCAAGGAGTCTGCTCAAAAAGATGCTAACCAGATCTCCGATGAATACCATGCAAAACAAAAAGCTAGTCAACTGGTGGCAGCCAGAGCTCGCAAAGATATTGAAGTTATGTCAACAACTGCATTGATTTTAGAAAATAGACCGGGGTAAGTTAATTTGCTAGCTTCAAATTAATCCTGAAATTCTGATTAAATGTTTAGAATTGTGCTCTGTATTGCTGCAGTGTTGGAGGCGGAGTAAAAAGCAAAGGCTGAGACAGGAGCTTTTTTTCTCCTTAGTTTTTTTTCTAAGAAAAAAAGAAAAAAGACCAAAAAGTTAAGATGAATATTAAGAACAGTGAATTAAAGATAATATTTAGATGTGTTAGTTTTTCTTGCCACTTATAGGCAAAGTTTTTTTTTTTTCTTTAAGGTGGCAGTCAATTTACTATACAGACTAATGTATATTAAGGAATCTTTTAAAAAGTGTAATAACATGGAAATCTAAGAAAAATCAGATCTTAGATTGTTTGATTTTTCTCATATAATCAAAAATAAGGGAATATTTTGAAGAATAATTTGGAAACTGTTTTCCTATTTGTGCTTGGTGGGAGGAGAGGAAGAAATTCTAAAGACTTTAACTGAAGAATAAGTATAGTGGTTCCATCTTATTGGTTGAAGAAAGGAAAAACCCTATAAATTTATTGTTTCTGTCTATATTTATTGTTCTGCTAAAATTGAAATTAGTTGCACATGAAATTGCAAACCTTAACAATGATTATGTATGTGTGAGGTTTTGAAAGAAAAAAAAATATTAGTGATAAAAGCTGACATATTCAAAAGCAATTTATAACAAAAAAGAAGTTTTAACAAATATATATATATATATATATATATATATATATATATATATATATATGTATAAAATTATAATACGGAAAGAGAAAGATTTTGAAAAAAGCTAAACTTATTTATTAGTTATCAGAGCAAAAATCGGACAAAAATGTGCACAATAACTAAAAAATATACAACCCCAGACAGATGTTACATGCAAGAAAATATAACATAAAAGGCCTTTAAGCCCAACACCACCAACTTCTGCTTGCAAAGAGATGTCTGATAGGACTTAATGTGCACTGAGACCACCTTCAAGTATTGTTGGAAGTTTTATTGTGGTTTTTGTATTATTTTTAATCAATATATGCTTTGGATATTATTTTGCCATTATTGATGAGTGTGGGTTGTTACTTCACAAATTAATTGTCAAAATAAGTTATAATTTTTAATAAGCAAAAGGTTCGGTAGCTCATCCAATTCCAATAGCAATTTGAATTGATCCAATATCAACTGTCTACCACCAAACTCTACTATCATTAATTGGAATTTTCTATTTCTCCACTGTTAAGAGGGAGATATTTATTTTTTGCAGAACTCAGTGTTTTTCAAATTTTGAAACTTCCCCTCTTTCTTCAGATAATTTTGATGCATTAAAGGCTAGGATTATTGATTTGAGCCATGCATATGCTGCTATCCTGGTTAATTATACAGAATTCAAATGCCAATGTGAATTTTTGTGTGATCAATTCTAACTAAACCTAATAAAAGGGGTGGTAGATATGGATTATAATTACGTCAACAAGATAATGTTGATTTTTAGGTGATGGGGACAAATTATAAGGTGACAAAATACCTGATAGGGCAAAGTCAATTGAGTTGAACTTGGAAAGTGTTTATTCAGTTTGTTTAAAAAAAATAAGGTCTTTCCGATAAACATTTTTGAAGTTATCAGGCTAAGGTGTTCTATATGACCGCAATTGTATGGTCTACACAAAACTCTTAAAGATAATGTTCCTTTGCATCCAATTTTATCTATGGTAGTATCATTGCAACGCAAGTTGGCAAGGTGGCTGACTGTGTTGTTGTTATAGCATACCTATGGACGATAATATTTATGTCCCCATTCGCATAAATACAATAGTAAATATTGTATGTTGGTCTGCAGTTACAGATTTGTCTCCGGCTATGCTGGTCAAACTCTCTGCTTCCGGGCAGAGAGGATCCCCAGATGAGGCTATGTCAAAGGGCAGATTCTTGTCATGGGAAACAGCTACCCGACCCTGTTTTATACAGGATCTATGGGGAATTTTTGGCCAAGCCTACAGGCTCGGATACCCCACAATAAATTCAGCTTTGTGCCAGATCTGACTGTGTGGGGTGGTTGGTAGATATCCTGCAGTTGGAGATTCATTGTGGAATTCCCTCAACTCACTTCTAGCAGTTGACTACTTCTTCTACACATCACTGGTGAATCTTACATGTGTTGTTCTTGTCGTAAGTGTTATCGTTCATTACCAAACTTCATGTGATTATTCTATTCAGTAACCTTCCCTAGGTTATAACAATTGTTGAATGTTATATAAGTAATAAAAAATAAAAAAATCCTTTACTTTCACCAACTATATGTAGAACTGTTCTTTCAGCACTGAAGATAAGTTTGTGTGCTCATTTGATATTAGTAACTTGTTCACCTGTGTACTGTTTGAACAGACTATTAATATTTGTGCTGACACATTGTACCATAGCTATTTGTCCTGCTTATCTTTATGGAGTTGAAGTTTTCAAACAGGTCTGAGGATTTAGTTTTAGTAAAATTATGTATAAGAAAATAGATGGAAATAGTAATGAGAAGTCCTTTAGGGCCAACAAAAGTAAATATATTTGTTGTTTTTTTTTGTTTTTTGTTTTTGTTTTTTCTTTTTTAGCAAGATTTACTTACATGCATTGAAGGAGCCAAGTATTATGTTAAATATATGGATGAAAGCTTTTTTTATGTTTGAAATTAAGATTGAGACTGTGGTTATCCCTCAAGCACTTAATACATTGTATTCAGCATTGCATTGAAAAGGAGAACAATGGTGTTCTTTTCTTGATGTCATGATACACAGATCAGACACAGGATTTCTTACATCAGTGTAATGGAAACCAACTTTTACTGGTTTATATACCCAGTGAGATTTCTTCTATTCTAAACAGCAGAAGATCAACTTGATTAAAACCTTAATTCAACAGGCCTTGGTAATATATTTGGTAACAAAATTAGATTCAGAAATTGTTGTAGAGTTATAATAGTTGGAAATAAGGATCTCTAAAGCAAGTGCAACTTTATAACTGGATTTATAATAGTTGGTAAGGAAGTAGAACTCAGGTGCGGTATAACAAACACTACATTATAACTAAAGTTATAATAGTAGGTGACCAGATTTTTGAAATTCATACATGGGCAACAGGAGTTACAAGAATTTCAACCATGTTGGTTTAAAAAAAAATTTCAAAGAGTTGTTGGAAGTGCTTTTAAAGAAAAATTCTTACACCAGATATGGTGCAAAACGCTGTATCAGAATTCATATGCAATCTTGATAATGGACTGACTTTTGCTGTGTATTGTCGCAGACATGAAGAAATATTTAGTCAGGAATGCAGTGGCTGGGAAAAAGATAAAAAAACAGTTTGTTGTTAAGAAAGATAGTGCCAATAGAGTATGGAAAGTACTGCAATTTTACTGAGACAACCAGGTGAAATAGGGTTTGAAGACACACTACATGAAGTTTTTAGCGACAAGTGCTCTCTGTTCTATGCATGAATTTAATCAAAAAAGAGGATGAAGATTTTGTCATATATGCAGGTACCATCAACATACAATCGATCAATTTAAACTTCAATAGGAAGTTATAATAGTTGGCAATGAGGAACTCAAACATAAGCACAGGATAAAAATCACATTATAACTGGGGTTATAATAGTTGGCAAGGAACTTGAACTCAAGTGCGGGTATAACAAGCACCACATTATAACTGGAGTTATAATAGAGGGAGATCAAATTTTTGAAACTCATACATGTGTGACAGAAGTTACAAGAATTTCAATCACGTTGGTTTAAAAAGTATAAAAATAAATTTTTTCTTGCAGATATGGAGAAAATTTTGGCCTCTATAGTTGAAATTCAAAATACCCAATAGAATATGAAAAGTACTGCAATTATATTTTACCAAAAAAACCAAGTGAAATAGGGTTTGAAGACACAGTACACATTCTGATGAAAATTTTTAGTGATAACTGCTCTTTGTTTCATGCTCGTTGAAGGTGCATGAATTTAACCAATAAAGAGGATGACGATTTTATTATGTAGGTACTGTCAACAAAGAATGGGAACAATTTAAACTAAAGGAAATAACTGGATATGTTCAAGGCATTAATTTTCATGTAAGGTCTAACAGCAGAAAAAATGCTGAAGTACAAACGAAAATTTTAGCAAAGATTGAATGTAATAACATAACACTACAAGAAATAGTGGATGATTGCCAAACAATGTTAAGTCTGAAGCGTGATGATGAAAAACTTCAGAATAAAAAATGTGCATTGGTAAAAGCGAAGGAAAAATGCACAAAAAGGAATATAAAAGTTTCTTATATAAAACCTTATTTCAGATGTAGAAAATTACATCTTAGAAAAGACTGCAAATGAAAAAATGTAGAGTGCTATAACTGTGGTAAAAAAAGGACATATCAAGTCACACTGCAGAACTAAGCCAAGAAAAAAATTTTGCAGGAAGAAATTAATACACAATATTGCGACAGAAAAAATAGTCACACGAAACAAAAGAAAATTTGTTAACATGCAAATCCGTAAAGTGGGAATAAAAATGTTACTAGACACTGGTAGTGACATTTCAATAGTAAATGAAACCACATGGAAAGAAATTGGAAAACCAGTATTAAAAAGGACTTACAAAGTCACAACTTCAGTTTGTGGTAAAAGATTATTTTTGTGGGAAGAATCAACATGTGATGTTTATTTTCAAAATAAGCAGGTGAAAACAAAAGCTTATGTTCTAAGAAATGTGACAAATCTATTCAGTATGGACTGGATGGAACTATTTGAACTGTGGGATTTGCCAATAAATGCTTATTATAAAAATGCAAGTGGACAAGCAACAAATTTAAAAAGTCACAACAAAAAACTGAAGGAAAAATTAAAAAAATGTTTTCCTGATATTCTGTCTAATGAACTGAGTCAGTGTTCAAAATTCAAGGCAAATTTTCAAGTACAAAAAGGCTTGACACCAGTATTTAAACCAAAATGGAGTGTACCATTTGCAGCATTAGAATAAG